TGGTGCAAGCACAGCATCTGTGTGGCCAGACACGTGGATGTGACACCTTGGGGACGTGGTTTAGTGGTGGTTGGGCAGTGCTGGGTTAATGGTTGGACTCGATGATCTCAGAGGTCTTTTCCAACCTGAATGATTCCACGGTTCCATGCTCCTCAGAACCACCCATCCAAAGCAAAACGTTTCCTGCCGGTCCCAGGTGCAGGTCTCTAACCCTCAGAGTTTATAAAAAAAGGCATCTGATCCAAACCTTGATTTTCACTCCCTAACGGAAAATTGCCTGGGAGCTCAAAACATCATCAACGGGTTTAGAAACAACCGGCCCTAAAAACGTCATGAGTGGCCACCCTACAATTTTCATATAGGGGATGATGATAAAATGTAAGACCAGATATGATTATAAAGATCTTGGTGGGGCTCACACCACTGGTTTTGGGGTGGGCTAGTCCTGTGCTCCTTCCATCCCCAAATCCATAGCCAGGGATTGTGTCAGAGGCACTGAGAGGGACAGACAGCGTCCTTGCGACAGGAACGGGTGCCTCAACACGGAAAAGCCGTGTAGAACATGTTTTAATAGCTAAGTCATTTCCAAAAGGCTGCTCAGAACTACTCCTGAATAAACCACAACCACTGCACACTGACTAAGACCTCTCCCCACTCTTTATACATCCAGGAAACTTTTTCTTATGAAAGGCTTCTGTTTTTTAATCCTGGGATCAACAATAAGTCCACAAAAGAACCAGAAGAAAATTAAGACTCGGACTGTTTCAGTTGCCTATTGGGACGCAAGGGAGCCTCATCCCCAGGGGATTCAGAGGAACTGGACTGTTCTCAGACTTGCACCAGGGAGTTTTATCTCAGATTATGGTTCTTTGAGAGGGAGGGGAACGAAGAGAGCGAAAGAAGTTCCCCAGCGAAGGGGGCTGAAGAAATCCTTGTCTGAATTTGTCAAGAAACCGCTTGCTGAGGGCCTGGTGCCGCTGAACACCCCGAGACACGGTGTACTCACGTGTAAGCTCGGGTGGTAAGTCAGCACCCCGTTGTCACACAACGTCACGTACTTCTTCTTCCACTCCTTGTTCAGTGACTTGCCACTCCTCTTCAGCAGCATTCCCTGCGAGGGGGAGAGAGGAGAGGTTAAACACCCTCTGGCCAGTGCACACCTGCTTGAGACCCTGCAAGAGAGACCACTGCCAGCATTTTCAGATGCGCTTTCTCCTGCAGGGACTCGTTCTGCCCTGCCCCTCCCATGAGGAACGCTGCCTCCATCAGCAGCTTCATTGTTTTGCCTTTTAGGAGGAAAGGCTGTCCAACACCAAGCCAGAAGGCAGTTCCCAATGAATCATACAGAACTTTGGTTACAGGAGTCTCACTGGAATGTCCAGGTGGAGACACTGTGGACAGCAGCTACCACACAGATACACTCGTGCCAGAGACACAAGCACACTCTTCACTGAATCACAACCAGGAATCTAAACCAACACAAACTGCAGCTCCCTAATCCCCACAAAGTGAGGTTGTCCCTTCTCATCTGCCAAGGCAATCAAAATAAAGGGAAATCAGAACACAGAAAGATGCCCTGCAAAGAGCACGGTGCTTCTGACTGCCACGGAGTTGTTCCTGTCCAAGCAGCTTAAAGCCTTGACAGCAAGTTCTGATGTTTGTTTTCCCATTAAGCCTGCAGCTTTATGAAGTCTCTGCAGAGCCGATCCCAAAGCCAGGAGGGGGCCCAGGCCAGTTCTGCCCAAGCACAAGTCCTCCAGAGCCAGCAGAATTCCAGATGTCACAGCTTCCAGCTGAAGTCCCTCGTCACTGTCCACACAACCTAACAGCCCTCCCTGTGCAACATCAGGGGTGATCCCAGTGGAAAAGCCCCACTCACACACCTGCCTGCTCCTGGCCACGCACTCGGGACACAACTTGAGAGGGGAACCCTTCCCAGCTCAGCCCAAGCAGTGGATGGGGCCGTGGAGAAAAGCTCGTGCTGGATCCCTGAATTAACACAGCGACCCAAACCCCCAACTCCCCGCCTGCCTGGGGATCACGTCCTCGTTCTCCTTGTGCTGTTCCTTGCCACAACTGGAACTTTTTCAAGGAGAATGGGGCTCCTGCACCGCCTCCTCACAGAAGCTCCCGCGGCACAGCCCAATTACCGCGTGCCAGTGGTGACAGACGTTGTTTTCCCTCTATTAAAAAAAAAATGAAAGCTTGTTTCTGCCTTTGACTCGCCTGTTTGTCTATAGGAGGTGATCCGTGGCTTCACCTTTCCCATCTTTCATACCTCACCTGCAGCACGTTCGCTGCCGTTCAGGGGGACCCAATTCTAGTTAGTGCTGTGCCGTGGGGATCAAAAATTACACTCTCCCTGCACTGGTTTGTTCTTCAGACCTTTTAATGGGGGGGAAAAAAAAAGCAGTAAGGAACACAATGGTGATCTTTTTTTTTCCCCCCTTCTTTTTTTTAATTTTTTTTTTTTTTTTTTTTTAATTTTCGGACGAATTAAAGTTTATGTACTTCACTCCTTTGTCATACAGACAACATGTAATTACTTCCATAATTATCAGTTCAATTATCAATTGCCAATTATAAACTCAACAAATAGTAAAAACCCCACAGAAGCTTTGCCACTGTCTAGGTGTGAATCCTGACATTCTAGCCATGGTTCTAAATGAAGAAATTTATCCAAAATGAGGTTTCACCGTACTTTTAAAGTGGAATTCTGTGCTTGATGTAAAACAACAAAAAAAAAAAATTCCAGCTCAGCGTTAGATATGAATGATGTACCTATTTGTGTGCCTAACTAACAAACCAGACCTCCCCATCCATTTCCTTCAGGCATTCCTTTGGCAAACACATTCATTTTCACATAATGTGAGAATTAAAGGTATCTTAAAGTACCTGGAGAGGAAACTGCTCTGAACACAAGGACTTGGTGTTGTAAAGTGAAGTAGCCCATATAAACCGCATTTTTCCCCCCTCAGGGCCACCAATTTGTGATAATTTTATAGAATGATCTGGAGAAATGGTCGTAGAATCGGAGTTTATATCAGTTATAAATGCACTTTAATGTTAACTAAATTTAAAAAAAAAAAAAATAAATGGCCCTGATATGACAAGAAATGTTCCTTTAAAGAAGCAGCCCTTTGCTTCAGTCACTTTATGTTTGTGTTTAAGTCACATCAGATACTGTGCCTGGGAAATGAGTTCCAGGGGTTCCCAATGACCTCTGGTACCTCTGAGGCAACTGAGGGGCATCTTGAACACATCCCCAGTTCCCCTCAAACAGGTCCCCACCTACACAGCACACACTGCAAGCCCCACCTCTGGTCCCTAAGCTGAGCAGTAAGAGACCAAGACCATCTTCTGCTTCCAAACACCCTTTTTTTTTTTTTT